CCCTTTTTTCCCTTTTAAAATACAAATTTTAATTGGTTTTAATTTATTGGGGTGTTTTAAATCTGTCCTCAGCCAAATTATTTAATTCGGTTTTATTCTGTTTTTAAATTTTGTATTTATGTGTTTTTATCTTGTGGCTGTTCACCGCCCTGAGTCCTTCGGGAGTAGGGCGGTATACAAATCAAATAAAACAAAACAAACAAACTGTTAAGCACTGCTAAAGTGAAACTAACCTTTAGATCAGTGGTGGATTTCGGATTATTTTACTACTGGTTCGCCGTGTGCGCCTGCCTTCCGCGCATCTGCTTTGCTCACATGTGTGCCTTCCACACATGCGCTCGACCTCAAAAACATGCCTAAATAGGATGGCATAGAGCCTGGGCGGGTGATTTCCACTACCTGTTTGGGCGAACTAGTCCAAACCGGCTAAATACCACCTCTGCTTTAGATGACCCTAACTCAGTGATGTGCAACCTTAAACACTCAAAGAGCCATTTGGACCCGTTTCCCACAGAAAAGAAAACCCTGGGAGCCACAAAACCCTTTCTCTGCCTGACTATTTCTTAAGGGGCCACAAAACTAGCATATGTAGTTGAATTAAACCTTCTGTTTTCTTCTGAAACTTTTCTTTTCTTGGCTTTATCCATGGTTGGCCTACTGGGGGTTGAAAAGCTCAGTAAATCACAGGCCGGTGGGTGTCGTACATTGGCAGTTGTGACGCATATTTTGAGTGACAGGGAGCCGCAGTAGAGGGGTGAAAGAGCCACATGGGGCTCCAGAACCGCAGGTTGCTGACCCCTGCCCTAACTGTTAACTTCAAGTATTTTGGAGAGAAACTTAAAACATTCATATTTGGGTGGGCTTTTTCAAGTATTATGATTGGTTGAGGCCCAGAGTATAAATTACAGGAATTTGCCTGTTCTTCAGTAATTTCAGTTGAGTCAATAAATGCTGTTTTACTTATGCTGTCTCTTCTTCTCTACTGCAGCCGACAATATAACAGATCTGATGCAGCCTGGAATACAGTATGGTTGAAAAAGTCAACAACAAGACTGAAACTCTGCCTTTGGCCATAACTTACAGACACCCCAAATATTGGCCAAAATGCTGAACCAGCAAGCCAGAATTGGTCTCACTATGCAGCTTGGTTTGGATTGTACAGCAAATTGTTCACCTGTGGTCAATTTAATACGGGACTCAGCATGTGCAAATATGCTGTCTGACAATGAGTATAGAGAGATTAAAAGTAATGAGGGAGATGGGCAGTTAAGAAATATGAAATATAAGCAAACAAAAAAACTTTCCCCACCTAAGAACTCCTTCAGTATTTCCAGTAAATGCAACAATTAAAATATGTTCATTTTGCCCTGCTTTAAAAATTAAACATGCAAAAAAAAAAAAAAATGCAACCAAAAGGTAAGTACTATTAAAGAGCAGGCTCTTTTTAAGCTGAGCCATACAGATGACCAAATGCTGCAAGGAAATGAAGCAAGGACTGACGGGTATAGAATGAGTCCAGCCTCCCTGGACAGTTCCTCCTAGTGGCTGGACTTCATTTAATCCTTTTATAGATCAGACTTCACATCTGAGGACTATTTCCTATAGGAAATTGCAGGCAGGACAGCCCTAATAAGCAAAGGACGTTTGTAGATTTGAAAGACAATAATTTTAACACAATATTTTTAAGGGTTAAAGAAGACAATTACATGATTTTTATTTACCAGCCCCTGTTTAGACAGGCTGAACAGTGATGGAACTGCTAGCAAGTGGAGAATTTGCACTGGTTTGCTTGCAAGTGATTGTTAGGATAAAATATGGACATTTAACCAACATGTAGTCCACCTGTTTTTTTTTTCTTTCCTAACTTTATAATTACATCAAAATCTGAGGTCCTGATTAACTAATCTCTGAAGTAGCTGAAAAGCTCGGTATTGACCAGCTACATTTAGTGCTTCAGTTGGTGAAGGAAACGTATTATTTTGCACATAAATTGTACTCAACAATGAACTAAAGGGCCACCATCGGTGAGCTGTTGGACAGCATTACTTGGTCTGTTGTGTGGATGTTTGGGTGGTTTAGGGGTGGGGAATTTGTGGTGGGTGGAGGTGTGTTTGGGGATTGTTGTGTGTGTTGGACCTGGTCTTTGGATGTTAAGTGAATTTCGTTGTATGGGTATACTGTGTATACACGTACAATGACAAAGTTGTTGTTGTTGTTGTTGTTGTTGTTGTTGTTGTTATTATTATTATTATTATTATTATTATTATTATTATTATAGTTTTTGGTGATTCATTTGTCCTTGATGTTTTCCAGATCAGAGTTCCCCATTATTATTATTATTATTATTATTATTATTATTATTATTATTATTATTATTATTATTATAGTTTTTGGTGATTCATTTGTCCTTGATGTTTTCCAGATCAGAGTTCCCCATCCTTTCCGGCTTTGTGGAGTGGCAGGGTGGGGAGAGGTAATTCCAAGCGAGCAGCAGGCCCATCACTTCCGCAGCCTGGTTCTGAATAGCTCAAGGCCCAGTGGTTGGAGACTCCTGTTCCAGATAAATTGGGATTATTTTATCTCTTAGAATTCCTGACTAGTGTGGGAATTTTTTTGCCACCCCAACATTAACAAGTTGAGGAATGCTGTTGTACTCTGGTACAAAAGAGTGAGACAACAGTATGCAATTTTTATGGAGTCCTTGGTGGTCTATGAACTCGAAGGTGGTTTGCTTGCAGATGTTTCATTACTCAGGTAACTTGCAGGATTCTATTAATGTAGCTTTACAATGAAGTAAAATTAGCTTATCTGGTTGTGTTTCCTATTTGCTCTCCCTGGTAAGGCTGACATCATCAGTCTTGCAAGCCTGAAATTATAATTCTCTCACCATCTCTTTTACAGCCCAAGACACTAGGGAGGGTTCCTTCTGAGCTTCTTACCATTCCCACTATCCAGTTGCAGGCTAAGCGGTCTTATTTGACCATCACAGGAAGGGCTTTTAGGCCTAAAAGATTCTGTTATTGTAAACTTACCATAAGGTAATGTTACGTCTTCATGGTTTTGGCTTCTTGTCTGGACTACCTCAAAGGGCTGACACATACTGACCTTATGGGGCTTCCCTCCAAGGAGGCTTCTTTGATGCCTATTCAGGCTGAAGCTGACTTCAGAGCTTTTGCCACAGTCAAGTCATTTGTAGGGTTTTTCATCAAATTGTGTACACCGTTAGTTGACAAGCTTGAGTTCTGGCTGAACGTCTTTCCACATTCAAAAGCTTGGTTTCTCTTCTGCCCAAGTGCCCCGGTACATGATAAAATCCTTGTATTTCTTGATTCCCCCAAACAGCTTTTGCTGGCCTTCCTCTTCTTATGATTTAGAGCTGCTATTGCTCTGCCAAAGCTAACAAATAACTCAATTTCTAGATCATTGTGTAAAATAATCATTCATTACATCCTGTATTTCTCATTGAACTTTGCTAGGTTGCTTGGTTCAATCAGTTCAAATTTATTCTCCGACCCAAAAGCCCATAAAATCTGTAGCTGACGATCAAGATGAAATTAGGAGATACCTGAGAAAAACTGAATAGAAGTATATTTTCTGTTTGACTGTCCTGTCTTTTTTTTTTTACTATTTCTTCAAACTCCATTTCTTTACCTAACATTGTTTACCCATTGTGTAATATTTCCCTTTGGGGAGTAAACAATGTTAGGCAAAGAAATGAAGTCTGAAATAATAATGCTTTCCCATATTTTTCTATCCATGAGATCACACTGGCTTTCACCTTGTCCATATATCATTTCATAATTATTTTTTTTAAATTTGATTTTTATGCCGCCCTTCTCCGGAGACTCAGGGCGGCTTACAGTGCGTTAAGCAATAGCCTTCATACTTTTGTATATTTATACAAAGTCAGCTTATTGCCCCCACAAACTGAGTCCTCAATTTACTTACCTTAGAAAGGATGGAAGGCTGAGTCAACCTTGAGCCTTGGAGAGATTCGAATTTGCAGTAATTGCAGGCAGCTGAATGTTAATAACAGGCTATTAGTCTGCTGCGCCACCAAGCTCTTGCATGTATCTGTCATACCTGCTCTGTATGCAACATTTTCTGCTAAAGGTAAGAACAATGCCAGCCATTCAAATCCGCATGCTGTTCTAGGCAAACCAGCATCATTTATTAGTTTGCAAGCCAACATACTGTTGCCTGCATCACACAAGCTGAGATGCATGCAGTGTATTGACATGCATGTGGGGTGTTTCTAAGTTTATCTGGCTTCAGTAAAATGCCTTCTGAGTAATTTCCTAATTTATAGCCATGCAGGATTTCAAGTGTAACCTAAATACCCAAACATCACCAAACATTCCTTTAAGTGCGATAACCCCATGCAGTGATTGCTAGTATAGATAGTCCACAATTTACAACAGCTCATTTAGGGGCTGTTCAAAGTTACAACGGCACTGAAAAAAAGTGACTTATGACCGTTTTTCACTATTACAATGTTTGCAGCATCCAGATCTGATCAAAATTCAGATGTTTGCCAAGTGGTTCATACTTATGACCGTTGCAGCGTCCTGGGGTCATGTGACTCCCCCTTTTGCAATCTTCTGACAAGCAAAGTCAATGGGGAAGCTAGATTCATTTAACAACTAGGTTACTAACTTATCAATTGCAGTGATTCACTTAACAACTTTGACAAGAAAGGTTGTAAAATGGGGCAAAACTCATTTAACCGATGTCTGACTTGACAACAGAAATTTTGGGGTCAATTGTGATCGTAAGTCGAGGACTACCTGTAAACACTATCAACACAGTGCAATCAATACATCTCTTTCAAACTATATTAAGATACGAGGAACCTTACTCTAAACAAGAAGCTACAATTGTCTCCCTTTAATTTAGCACCCCCAAATATGCAGTTCCCATCATGCCTTTGACCCCCTTTTCATATACTGCATTTTCTGAATACCAAAAAAAGAAACCATGGCTGAAAGAGTGAGCAGTCATTAAAACAAACCAATACTTTATTTTGTTTGAACAAAATGTACAAAGGTGCTTATATTAATGTTTCCCACAACATTAGCTTGGAAATTCTTCCTACTGCTAAGCTTCAAAGGGGAAGGAACTCATTCTCTTTTTCTTGCCACAGGTGTCCCAGAGAACTTTCTACTTCTTCCCAGATTTTTTAATCCCACCTCCAGCTGCAAAACAAACAAAAAAAAAAGGGGGGGGAGAGAGATTACCAATGATTTTAGACAGACAGCACTAGAGAAAAAAACCTGAGATCTTATTTCTCAGCCTGAGGTTTAAAAGTAAATGCTCCCTTAAACTCAAGTTAATTGCTCATGAGTACATGGACATGATTGTATAATGTTCTTCAATTTATTTCAGAAGTGATTTGCTGCTGCTTTCTTGTCAGATTGTTTTATGATCTGATAAATCTCTACACAGAAGATTCTTTCTATGAATCCGCCTAATTTTTTTTAAAGATTTCTAGAAATGTTGCAATGTTTTCTACCGCCTTTCCTTTTAGGATTAAAACACCGCACTTTTGGAAAATATGCCGTGTTGACTATCCAGATTACATTCGGACAAAACATGCTTCCATCTTAAATGATCAAGCTTAATGCCTTGAATATGCAAAATGAATCCAGGAAGTTCTTTAAAAGAACCTAAGAAGTCTTTAAAAGGTAAGAAAATTTTTATCAAGATACAATTAGAAAGATTACAACATGATTTAGCTTTAGCATCCAATAACTTCCAATGACCAATCCAGTCAATGGATAATATTACTCTATCTTAGCTTGGTGCTATTTAGACATGTTAGACTACATCATACTGATTGGCAACAATACTATATGAGCTACACAGGCAATACATCTGAAAGGCAAGGGCGGGAAAAATACTTTATCCTATACATTTTTACTCATAAGTTCCATTGACTAGAATAAATATAGTTTCACAAATATGTTATGAAGCTTGCCTAATTTAGGAAGGGTCTACCAGCTAAGATTCCAGACAAAATCAAACTTGAAATTCTACTGAAAAAAGTGGCAAGAGGAATATTTTCTTTATCTCCACCCCCACCCCCCGTAGAATATATACTGTGTTTTCCCAAAAATAAGACCCTGTCTTATATTTTTTTGAACCCTGAAATAAGCGCTTGGCCTTATTGCCATGCGCTCAAAAGCCTGATTGGGCTTATTATCAGGGGATGTCTTATTTTGGGGAAAACAGGGTATGTATACTCTACTATATCCCTTTTTAAGAAAGTTGCTGAGACAATTTAGTGATCTGAAAATGTTAATTCAGCTGTGTCTCAATTCAATATATAATTAAATGTTTTAAAACCATCTTGAATGTAAGAAAAATAAATCTTTCCTCTCTTCAAAATAGGAGATTAGCCCATCTCCCAAAATGTACTGGGGTAAGAAGCAGCAGCATAATAGTTCAGGGAACTGCAGTAAAAGCAGAGTTAAAGATATGGGGCATGCCAACGTACATTCATTCAATAAATCATATTCAGCATCAGCATACTATCCCATACCATACAAAGGACATAAAGATGAACAATAGTAAGACCCACAATATATCAGGAGTCTGCAACCTCTTCAGTTGTTGGGTACCATTGTTTGGTGTTACATGCACCAAGAAAACCCTTAAATGACCAACATCTCATGGAATTCGGTCATTCAAGCTGATATGTTGCAATGATCGATCTGCCTCTTCAAGTTCCATGAGATTTAAGCCGTTTAATTTTTAACAAAAAGTTTTGTTTCATTTTAAGTTTTCATAGGCTTTTCGGGAGTTTCTTCGAAATGAAAAAGTGGTTAATTGAAACATTATATATTTTAAAAAGCAGAGACTAAAATGATGTGTGTCTAGGTTTTGTGATTCACCACTAATTTCATGGACAAGTCCTCCCGGTATTTCTTTATCCTGAACTTTTCTAGATCCAGCTAGATCCCACATTTGCAGGGAATTTAAGAGAAAGCAGTTTACCAAGTGGGCCCTTGCCAGCAGCTTTTGCCTTCAACTCATCCAGTTTCTTTTGCTCCTCCTTCTGCTTCTCCTTGAAAGCTCTATCTTCCTGTTAAGACATTTACCAACCAGAGTTAAAAACGAACACACAAGCATGTAACCATCTTCTTAAATCATGCAATTTCACCAGCAGCCCCCCAACCTCCTCCTTCCCCTTCCCTCTCAATTTTTCTCACCTCATCTAATTCCTTCGACTGCTTCTTGGGTTGCTTCAAAGGCTTCTTCTTTCCACCTACAGACGAAGGAGAGAATATGAAATTAGACCACCGTGCATAGCCTCCCAATCTGGTGTCTTCTGTCAATGCTGGGATTCCCAGAATATCTTCGTGGCTGGGAATTCTGGGGCTTGAAGTCCCAGCGTACCTGGAGGACCTGTGCTAAAGCAAACTGTCAAGAGGGCTAAACAAAAAACTTACACACCCAAATTATGTTTAGCTTCTGCAGATGGATCAGACTGGACACCCATTCAACATAACCCTAACAGCTGGGCATGATAGGGCTTGGAGTCAAAGAAACCAGGAAGGAGCCAGATTACAGAGGACTCAATTGAAGCCTTCTCCCCCATGCATGCACCAAAAGGATTTGCAGCAGGTTCCCCCCTCCCAAATATTAGCACACCAGAGACTTTTCCCTCCCCCGCACCTCCACTTCTGCCATCAGGTTCCCCCGCAATCCTCCCACCCGCCAGCATAACCCAGCCATCACGAGGCGAGCATTACCTTCGCGTCCCGACATGGCGCTTCTTTCCTACCGTCTGGCTCGCCTCGCAAGAAAAGCCCCCCCACCCTCCGATGGACAACCCGGAAACCCACCACCTAGGAATGGGGCTCACACAGCGACTTCCGCCCGCAGCCGCGACGGCGCAGCCATTGGCGCTAAGGGGTAAAAAAAGTGCAACCCTAGAGATAGAAAAGGGGTAGAGCGACGCAAATGGTTCACTTCCGGAAATTTTTATCATGGGTTAGCAAGTCCTCCATAACAAACACATTGGTGGTCGGGGAGGGGGGGGTTGTACATGTGGAGTGTTCAGTAGAGTGTGTGTATATGAAAAGAGTATGGAGAGAGAGAGTGTGTATATTTATGTATAGGATGTGACACATTTTTATACTATTTTTTTTAAAAAAAATTATATAATTTATACACACGTGCTGGAGTTTTTTCCTGTAGAACAGAAAAGAATAGATGTAGCTCTGAGTTAGTTGTGTGATCTTTACTATGGAGTCCTTACTTAGATATACTTCATATATCTATATAGATTTATATGTATGTGATGTAATACACATGCATGGAGTACAGAGTACATGTGTATGTATCAATGTATATACACTCTGATTCACATTCATACATGTGTATGTATTAATGTACTGTATATATACAGATCCATATCATACATGTGTATGTATTAATGTATATGCACACAGATCCACACATTAATAGAATAGAATAGAATAGAATAGAATAGAATAGAATAGAATAGAATAGAATAGAATAGAATAGAATAGAATTTTTATTGGCCAAGTGTGATTGGACACACAAGGAATTTGTCTTTGGTGCATATCAGGGGTGAAATCCAGCAGGTTCTTACAGCTGCTGGAGAACCCCTAGCAGAAATTTTGAGTATTTTGGAGAACCGGCAAATACCACCTCTGCCTGGCCCCAGGAGTGGGGAGGAAATGGAGATTTTGCAGTATCCTTCCCCCAGGAGTGGGGTGGGAATGGGGATTTTGCAGTATCCTTCCCCTGCCACGCCCACCAAGCCACGCTCACAGAACCAGTAGTAAAAAAAATTGGATTTCACCACTGGTGCATATGCTCTCAGTGTACATAAAAGAAAGATACGTTCATCAGGAATACATACATACACCTGCACTCTCTGCACCCCGTGCATGTGTGTCACATCATATACATGTTTATATATTTATATAGTTGTAGATAGATATAGGGAGTATATCTAAGGACTCGGTAGTAAAGATCACACAACTAACTCAGAGCTACATCTATTATTTTCTGTTCTACAGGAAAAACTCCAGCGCGTGTGTATATAAATTATATAAAAATTATTTTAAATTATATAAATTACTGTGGCCAATCAGATGCGTGAAAATGACCAATCAGGGATAGCTCTTCAGTGGTTTTTTTTTTTTAGAAGCGCCTCCCACCCGATTGAATGAAAAGTTCACCATAATCTAACGCGGGAGGGTTTTCGCCTCCTCCATAGATGTACTAAAGTTAGAATGACACCACCCTCACCGTCATTAGAAAACGTCCGTGGCTATTTGGAGAAGAGTTTCGCTTTCGGTCCTAAATTCTCTGAATGCGTTTCCCTGCATCCACCGAGAGAGAGACTTGCATTGTTTCCGCCGCGACTTTTCTCCGCTTCCGGCTCGGAGGCATGTGAACTCGAGGAAGGAAACGTGCAGCGGACTGGAGGGAGAACATCGTAGTGAGTGAATGAATGGATGGATGGATGAATGAATGAAGGGGTCCCTTCGGGGCAGAGGGAAGCAGAGTTCGGGGTGGATGCGATTCCGGGAAACGTGCAGGTGGGGAGGCTTTAGGAATGGAGGGCAACAAAGCAGCCCAGGGATGGGGGAGATGGAAGAAATAACTTCCTGCATACGTGCAGCTCTAATTTTTGAAGTCCAGGGTCAGCCAAGGAGGCTTAATTCCTCTGAAATCGCAATTGGATTTCCACTTCTCTTAAATGTATGCAATCTATATGTTCATTTGCAAGTTTCCCGAAGTGCCGCCCAAGCAAAAAAATTGTTACAAAGCAGGAAGCGGTTACAACATTAAATTTTTATTATAGAATTCGAACATCAGATTCCTCTCCAGAATAATTGAAATAATAATGACGGTGATTAAAAAACAAAAGATGGTAATTTTTATTTTTATTTTTTTGCTTTAATTTATATGCCGCCCTTCTCCGGAGACTCAGGGGGGCTTACGATGCGTTAAGCAATAGCCTTCATTCTTTTGTATATTTATACAAAGTCAGCTTATTGCCCCCACAATCTGGGTCCTCATTTTACCTACCTTTGAAAGGATGGAAGGCTGAGTCAACCTTGAGGCTGGTGAGATTTGAACTTGCAGTAATTGCAAGCAGCAGATGTTAATAACAGTGCTTTAGTCCACTATACTGTACTAACCTTAAAGGTTAGGTTTAAAAAAACCGACAGGGTACCTGCAAAACGGACGTCTGAAGATGATATTAATGTAGGAGCATGAAAGGATTTTCATACGGAGATTAACCGAGCCGTCCTCGATGCTCTCTATAGCAATGTTGCTCAACCTTGGCAACTTGAAGATGCATGGACTTCAACTCCCAGAATTCCCAAGCCAGCCAGGGAATCCTGGGAGTTGAAGTCCACACATCTTCAAGTTGCCAAGATTGAGCCGCACTGCAATCTATTAGTGATTTTGAAAATGTTGAATTGCAACAGGGAACATCTCTGTTGGCTCTCTTAGCAGGGATGAGTGAGAATTGTAACAGCATGGTGCTGACTTTGGAAAAGATGGATTGAAAACAGAATTTTGAAGGTTGTGCAGAAACAACAAGAAATCATAGGAGCTTTTTTTAAAAAAATTTTTACAACTCAGTCAACAATTTTGTTGCCATACTTCTGGGACCCTGGGAAGTTCCTAAAACTCCTACAACCAGTGACCCTAAATTTTAAGTTAGCAAAATAGAAATAGAATCTGAGCTCTTTGGCCTGGAGACACCATAACTGGTATCCTGAAACGGGTTTGAGGAAATTGCTTCATCCCATTGTGGTGATTTGGATATTTAAATAAGATACAGCTATAAGAGATAGCAGTGTTTCTAAAGGTTAATCTGGGCATTAGAATGAAAGAGTTTATATACCTGATAAAATCTAGGGGCTATGAGAGATCGGTCATATTCTGTGCGTGGCTGCCTTATGGGTAGCTCATTGCTCATAGAAAGCATTTTTGGCAGTATTCATGATAGCATATTCATTTTGCTTGCTGTTGTTCCCTTTCTGATGAACAATATAGCAAGGTGGCCATAAAACATCAGCCTCATTTATATGTATTTGATCATACGTTTTATGTTTTCCAAACTTGCAACTTTAACATAAGCTGACTTCACACACTCTCATGTTGGATAGATATGCAGTTTACAGTGGTATTTCTACATTCCGTTTCTTCCCCCCATGTAATGGGTCAATTATGTTGGCTAGCAGGACAATATTCTCTTCAGCCTCCTAAGGAAGCTGTATATTTGAAGATGTCCCCTTGCCACCCCTTGTTCCACTTCAGTCTTTGATAGACACTTTAGACTTCGATAATCGTGGCGAGCTGGCTTGATCCCATCTTTGCGATTTTAATTTGAAATTGGTTTTAATCTGGGTTGTTTTAAATTGAGGGCCAAAATCATTAATTGTCTTTTAAACTGCTTTTAAATTTTATATGTTGTGTTTTTACCGTGGCTGTTCACCGCCCTGAGTCCTGTTGGAGAAAGACGGTATACAAATAAAATAAATAATAATAATAATAATATAGTCCATTTTGCTCTATCAGCCACTGCTCCATCTTCTTTCCAGAAGTCTTTAATTTCCATTTTTTTTCTTTCTCTTTGTCAGCCCCCACTTTTACAGAACAGAACAGAACAGAATAGTTGGAATAGACCTTGGAGGTCTTCTAGTCCAACCCCCTGCTCAGGCAGGAAATCCTACACCACTTCAGACAAATGGTTATCCAACATCTTCTTTAAAACTTCCAGTGTTGGAGCATTTACAACTTCTGGAGGCAAGTTGTTTCACTGATTAATTGTTCTAATTGTCAGGAAATTTCTCCTTAGTTCTAAGTTGCTTCTCTCCTTGATTAGTTTCCACCCATTGCTTCTTGTCCTGCCCTCAGGTGCTTTGGAGAATAGCTTGACTCCCTCTTCTTTGTGGCAGCCCCTGAGATATCGGAACACTGCTATCATGTCTCCCCTAGTCCTTCTTTTGATTAAACTAGACATACCCAGGTCCTGCAACCGTTCTTCATATGTTTTAGCCTCCAGTCCTCTAATCATCTTTGTTGCTCTTCTCTGCACTCTTTCTAGGCTCTCAACATCTTTTTTACATCGTGGTGACCAAAACTGAATGAAGTATTCCAAGTTTATTTATTTATTTACATCATTGTAACCATCCCTCTCATAAAACGTGACTTGGAATGGCATGCAGTAAAACTACATCATAAAAAGTAACAATTAAAAAACATCCCATAAGGAGCTCCAATCAGAATTACTAGTAGCAGACTAGCTGAAAAAGTTATTACCGGTATTATAGGCAGACAACCATTTCACTAATTCACCCCTTTCTTAGGAAGCCTTATGTCACTACCCTATTTTAAGGGACTTCTGGAAAAATGTCAGAGATAGTTCCAGTCTCACCTTATAGGAAAATAATGTTCTACAGGGCAGGCATCATGAGACTAAAGGCCCATTTCCTGAGTCTTGCCAGATGTTACTGCTTCATGAACCAGACCCATAGAGTACACCTTCTGTCAACTCCAATGGTGGAATCTGGCACTGAGTTGAGGGAAGGAGTGAAACACCTGATTAGCTTTGAATCATTTGTGGGGAAGAAGCAGCTGAAGGGAGATCGGCCCCCTAAAGCTTCACAGCATTTATCTAGTAGTTATATAGTAAATGCTTTAGTCTGGCAAGATTCCTGTCTGTAGGTGAGCAACCATAAACATGCCACTCTGATGAGCTCTTCCTCTCATTTCTGGTTCCTTCTGCCTGACATGAGCAGTTGTAATTGGGTAGAGGTAGGTAAAGGTAAAGGAGTCCCTGCAGATTTTACTCCGCTAGTTTTAGTCGACTATAGAGGTGGTGCTCATATCCGTTTCAAGGCCACTGAGCCAGCGCTGTCTGAAGAACTTTCCGTGGTCATATGGCTAGCATAAGTGGTACCTATTTCTCTACTTGCATTTGCATGCTTTCGAACTGCTAGGTTGACAGGAGCTGGGGCAAAAACGAGAGCTCACCCCATCGCATGGCACTTAGGTCTCGAACCTGGGCTTTCACCTTTCAGCTGACAAACCCAGAGTCTTAACCGCTGAGCCATCGTACTGCTTCGGCTGGAGGCAAATCCCCAAATAACCTGATCCCAGGAGATGTGATGTAGGGCTCTAAAGGTTCAAATCAGCACCTTGAATTGAGCCTGGAAGCAAACTGGCAATCAATGCCGCTTGCAGAGCAGAAGTGTAACATGTGCCACTCATGTAACTGCTCATGCTGCCCCATTTTGAACCAGGTGAAGCTCCTGAATAGTCTTCAAGGGCAGCCCCATGAAGAGCACAATTATAGTAATCCAATCAAGAGGTTACATGGGCATGAGTACCCTTGAGCAGAACCGCCTGCACCAGAAATGTGCATAACTGACGCACAACATGAAACTGCGCAGAGAAGTTTCTTTTTTAAAAAAGCTACTATGGGTAAGAAAATGTGTTTATCTCTGTCTCAGCTAATGTGAGCTAAGATAGAACAATGTCTGTGCTCGGATAAGTAGATCACAGGATGGTAGACAGGCCTGGATGATGACATGCTGTCATAGGAGCATCAATGGCTTTTGACTCCAAACGTCTAGACTAAATTTTTATGGCTGATTTTATAGATTCCCTCCATTCCCAACATCTGTAACTTGTTTAGGGACAGCTTTCAGGGCACAACATTATACAAAAGGGTCATATCACTATAACTATCACTTCCATGCAAATCTTCCCACATCCTCTCACTTTACTTTCATCTCAAATCTTCTCATGATTTGTATTTTAATTTCCAGTCATTTTGCTGGAAGCTCCTTGTTTTATCCACTCCATTCACTTCCATAGCATTTTAAAAAAAATTGTTTTTATCAAAATTGCTCTACATTTTCTTGAGCCTTTTAATCATATACATCCGTTGCTCTCTTTCATTTCTTTGTTTACAAGTTTTTTTTCATTATGCACATTATAAAATCTATTTTTCTCATTCTCATTTTTTTTTTTTTTTGTTTGGTAGTAATCACCCTTCGATGTTGGCTTCATGTAGAGATTAAAAGCCTGCGGAGCAGATAAAGCCTTTAGAAGTCCAAGAAAAGTAAAATAATCTGAAACAATGATTGGAACCATCTGGAATTACTCAGCGAAGTAGGAATGGAACCACTGGATAATTGTGTCCTACAATCCCTATTTCCCCTCCAAACAACTAATCTGAAATCGATCTCATGGTGAAAAACCACTCAGAGATTTAATTGCTTGCGATATAGTCTAGTGGCCACATTAGAAAGAGTCTTAAATAAAAATCCATGTCATCCAAGAATTGCCTAGCACTGAATCCCAGTTACCACTGCCTGGGATCCTTGCTTCAAAATGGAAGATTAGCAACTACCCTGTTTCCCCTAAAATAAGACATCCCCTGATAATAAGCCCGATCGGGCTTTTGAGCGCATGGCAATAAGACCAAGTGCTTATTTCAGGATTCAAAAAAAAAAAAAAAAGACAGGGTCTTATTTTCGGGGAAACAACAGTAGTTGACATTCTTCAAGGTTCAAAACCCAGTTTATTTAGAAATAATTTTTACAGCCATCTCCTTCTCCAAACTTTCAGGTTTCCACACTTTTAAAAATTTGGTAGTATACTTCAAAAGAAAAATCTGTATATAAACAGGCACATGAAGAAAATGTGTGCACAAAACTGTGTAAGTGAGAAGTAAGCTCTGCCAAACTTGAATATTTTAAAGGAAAATGCTGTACATATATATAAATGCCTACATCAGAATTGCTTCCAAAAATATGGGTTTTTTCCCCCAAGTTTGAGGAGGTCTTTTGGCTAAATTTGCAAACTGAAATAGAAACACAGATAAATTTATTGCATGGAAAAATGAAAATCTGAGCACAACTGATATGGACCTCTCTTATCTGTTTATCCAGATCAATCAATTAGCTTAAGAAAATTAAGAGTCTTCAATGTTTCTTTCTATTTCTCATCCAGAAAAACATGTACTATACGTGTTGAATTTCTCCACCAAACAGGGGAGAGAATACAGGGTGGAAGCTGGAAATACAAAAATATGGCGTATGGGAGACTGCAATTTTTCCTCATCAGGAAAAGCTTTCCTTCCTTCCTTCCTTCCTTCCTTCCTTCCTTCCTTCCTTCCTTCCTTCCTTCCTTCCTTCCTTCCTTCCTTTCTCATTCACTCTTTTCCTTCCCTTCCCTTCCCTTCCCATTTTATATCCCACCTTTTTTCTTATGTCTGAAGAAAAGCCCACTCACCCTAAAGGCCTAATAACAATGGGATTCCATCTCCTCCAAACAGCTTCCGTAGGATAAACCTACTTCAATGCATATGAATGGAGGAAATGTATTTATTTATTTACGGGTAGTCTTTGATTTACAACCATTCATTTAATGACCGTTCAAAATTGTATCGGCACTGAAAAAAGTGACCTAACCATTTTTCATACTTATAACCATTGCAGCATCCCCATTGTCACATGATCAAAATTCAGATCCTTGGCAACTGGTTCATATTTATGACAGTTGCAGTGTCCAGGGGTCATGTGACCATCTTTTGTGCCTTCCGACAAGCAAAGTCAACGGGGAAGCCAGATTCACTTAACAACCTGGTTACTAGCCTAATAATTGAGGTAATTCACTTAACAACTATGGCAAGAAAGATCGTAAAATGGGGCAAAACTCACTTAACAAATGTCTCGCTTAACAACAGACATTTTGGACTAAATTGTGATTGTAAGTCAAGGACTAACTGTATTAGATTTTGATCCTGCTTTTGTTACTTTATAAGTTAAGACAAGGCAGTGAAGATACCTAATACTCCTTTTATCAGGCCTGGAAGCCATCTTTTGCCTTGGGCCTTCAGGCCTGCCACATTTCCTACTGTGGGAAACTGAGAGGGGGGATTGTATGGAGCATGGATGATATGTAGTCATAATAACATTCTTTTCTCAGAGAGTCAAGGACATCTTGCCCTGCACTGGAAGGGTGTGACTGGGAAGCATCTCCTGTTGGGACGGTGCTTTGGTTGGACCATGTGATGGACATGTGGGTGCAGGGGAAGGGACTTGGACTTTCTTTTGGGTGGGGAAAACCTGGATTTTCCCAGATGTGCCAATATGACATCTCTAATAAAATGAAACTTTGAGGAACTTCAAGCCTCGGAGTCTTCTTTCGTTGGGGGTGTCACTTGGAACCTTGATATTTTCCTCCTCTTATTTTCCCCAAGCAACAACCCTTTTAGGTGGGTTGGGCTAAGAGAGACAATGATTGTCCAAAGTCATTCAGTTCTATAGAGAAAAAAGAAGCTGGTGTGAACTACCAACCTAGAAATAAGGAGAAGTTTGCTGACAGTGAGAATAATTTCCAACTGTTATTCTTTTTCTTCTGTTAATTTGGGTATAGAGCAGTGATCGCAAACCTTTAGACACAGAGTGCCCAAACGGCGTGCGAGCGTATGCCCAAACTGAAGGGGGGGCGTACGCGGGGACATGCATGAATGTGCACATGCGTGGACATGCATGCGTGCGCAGCAGAGACCCAAAGACCAGCTGGCTGGCGGGGCATCCCAACACTGACAGCGTGGCAAGAGGTAAGGTCTTTTTCTTTCATGAGCTTCTGTTTTGTCGTTTGCAGGAAACAGAAGCTCATGAAAGAAACGCCACAGAGATCTGACCTGGGATGACGGCGCATGTGTCAGCAGAGAGGGCTGTGCGTGCTACCCCTGGCACATGTGCCATAGGTTCGCCACCACGGGTATAGGGAGTCCATTGACATGTCATACCATTGAGCCACGGTGGCGCAGTGGTTAGAGTGTCGTACTGCAGGCTACTTCTGCTGGCTGCCTGCAATTTGGCAGTTCGAATCTCACCGGGCTCAAGGTTGACTCAGCTTTCCATCCTTCCGAGGTGGGTAAAATGAGGACCTAGATTGTTGGGGGGACAATAGGCTGACTCTGTAAATTGCTTAGAGAGGGCTATAAAGCTCTGTGAAGCGGTATATAAGTCTTAAGTGCTATTGCTATTCTATGGGTGGCTCTGTATGTAGAGATTAATTTGAGTGTGGGGCGCTCTCTGAGCTGCGTGATCTTTCTCGCATATCTTTCATTATCAAACTAGAGAACATCATCAGTGCTGGATTAATTTGAACACTCATTTCAATCTGTGGCTTGCCTTTTAAAAACCTTTGTAGATTAATTTTTTTAATGGGTTTCTGACGTGGTACTCTTGTTGCCTTCAATTTTGTCTCCTTGCAGGTAATTTTTTCCCCACCATGGTGGCCCTGCGTGCACAGCTCCCGTGAAGTGCCCAGACTTGCTAGTTCACTTGTTGTAAGCGCATCGCAAAATGCAACGTCCCCATTTGTTATCTTTTGTGAGGATGTACTGCTCTCCGGCCTCCAAAAAGTCTGAAGCAGCCAACACAATGGAAACAGCTAAAGTTTTTCTTTGTCGCCTCTCTGGAGCTGGAAGGGATTTGGGAAGACACTCCGTTCAGCGAATCTCTGCAACCACACAAAGCTGGTGGGAAAAATACGAGGAATTTGTCGGCATTAATGAAGTCCGAGAAGCCCAGGGAAATGTGACCGAGGTAAGAAAGGGGTAACTGATCAGTTTGGGTATCATTTCTTTCTCTTTGGTGGGAATGCCTGCTTACAGGTGGTCCTTGACTTACAACCACAATTGAGCCCAAAATTTCTGTGTTTAGGTGAGGCAGGTAAGTGAGTTTTGCCCCATTTTTACAATCTTTTTTTTTTTGCCACGGTTGTTCAGCTGTGTTGTTGTTAAATGAATCATGCGGTCGTTAAGTGAATCTGGCTTCCCCCATTGACTTTGCTTGTTGAAAGCCAGGTGGGAAGTGATGATCACATGCAGGGGTGGGTTCTAAAATGTTTTACTACTGGATCTGTGGGCGTGGCTTATTTTGTGGGCATGGCTTGGGGGGGTAATGTGACTGGGTGGACATGGCCAACTTTTTTTTATTTTATTTTTAAAAGCATTTTTTCTACAACCTTAAGAAGTTGCAGAAAAAATGCTTTTAAAAGCCTCTGACAATCAGGCAACTCAGCTGGGATTGCCAGAGGCTTTTAAAGGTATTTTTTTCCCTACAACCTCTTCAGCTGAAGAGGTTGCAGAAAAAAAATGCTTCTAAAAGCCTCTGACGATCCCAGTTAAGCCGTGCGATCGTCAGAGGCTTTTTTTTTTTTCTTTTAAAAGCATTTTTTCGGCCGAAGAGGTTGTAGAAAAAATGCTTTTAAAAGTAGAAAGAAAGAAAAAAGCCTCTGATGAGGTGGGCGGGGTAAGCGACCGGCGACCGGGACAGGGACCGGTTTGGGGGCATGGCCAGCCAATGTTATTACCGGTTCTCTGAACTACTACAAATTTTTACTACCGGTTCTTGTGAACCGGTGCGAACCGAGAGCAACCCACCACTGATCACATGACCCCGGGACAGTGCAGCTGTCATAAATACACGCCAGGTGCCAAGCACCTGAATTTTGACCATGTGACCACAGCAGATGCTGCAGTGGTTGTAACAGAGAAAGCCGGTCATAAGTCACTGTCCTCAGTGCCACTGCAACTTCTGACAGTCACTAAACGAATGGTTGTAAGTCGCAATTGAAAGCAACAATCTTCACAGTATAATGAAAGACTGTTAAAATGGTAAATAACCTTCTCCTTGTCTTTGGCAAGCATATTGGATGACATAATGACTTATGACCACAATTGAGCCCAACATTTCTGTTGTTAAGTAAGACAGTTGTTAAGTGAGTTTTGCCCATTTGATGGCTTCTCTTGTCATAGTTGTTAAGTGAATAACTGCAGTTGTTAAGTTAGTAACATAGTTGTGAACCTGGCTCCCCCTCCCCCCCGTTGGCTTTGCTTGTCAGATGGTCACATAAGGTGATCACATGACCCCAGGACACTGCAATCGTCATAAATATGAGCCAGCTGCCAAGCGTCCAAGTGCGGAAGTGGCAACGGTCATAAATGTGAAAAATGGTTCATAAGTCACTTTTTTCCTAATAAAAATAATTTTTATTAAACAGTTTGTCTTTAAAAACAACACAAAAAGCAATCATACATATATAAAAACAAAACATGTCAAAATGTGACGTATTGAACATTACATAACATTAATGGTAATTTTACAGCATTTCGTATCAACTTACGTACTTTGCTTTTGTAGTTCTCTATTCTGTCATTTCTATTTACTACTCAATAGTAGAATAATCACATTACTCCAACATATATATATATATATACACATTATAATATTCATTTGTTCTTATCTACACATTTATATTCGTTTATATTTATCTCACTTTATTTAATGTTGTTCAGTTACTTTAAGGTTCATCAATATTAGGTTAAACATTTCTTGTTCTGATTTCTATTTTCGAGCCAACTATACATTTTATTCCATATTTCATAATAGTCCGAATCTTCTCTCTCTTTCAACTCCATAGTCATTTTATCCATCTCTGCGCATTCTAAAATTTTCCTTATTACAGTTTCGTCTGACGGTATATTTTTTTGTTTCCAATTTTTGCTAATGTGATTCTTGCTGCGGTAAGTATGTGCAATATGTATTGAAGGTTTAAGTCACTTTTTTCAATGCCGTTGTAACTTCAAACGGTCACTAAACAAAAGGTTAAGGACTATCTCTATTAGAAATATAATATTTCTCTGATCATTTGTGTCCCATCCTTTATGCAGCATGTCTACTATTATTAGCATAAGCTTGTTTATCTCAATCTGGTGCCTTTCAATAATTGGCATTGTCGTTTCCAGAATTCACACGAGCATGGCCAAAATATGCTAGTTGAAGTAAGCTAGTATCCACCCCATTCTGGTGGATTAGGCCAGGGCTGTGGATCTGGGCTGCAAACTCAACGCGACCACTAGATGGGCAGAAAGATTCAAAACAAGTCTTTACTCTTTGTTGCCATCTAGCGGCAATCTGAATTTTTGCAGTTCAGTTGTGCCCTATTTAGGCTGTCAGATAAATATACAGTCAACTTTCTCTTGGCTGATTTCTTCCCAGGCTGAAAAACAGTTTATGTTTGCTCGAGGAATTGTACGAGAAACTCGTGACACGTGGGAGACTCAGCAGCTGAAATTGAAGGAAATTCGGGATCGTTTAGACAGAGTTTCACGTGAGGACGTTCAGTATCTGGAACTGGCAACTTTGGAGCACAAATTATTGCAGGTAAGAAGAGCCCCAGATGTTGGAGGCATTTGAATCAGTCTGCTTTCCCTTTTTGAATTTGAATGAGGTTTGGACTTTTATTCCCCCTCATTTTGGAACTGCTTCAAATTGACATGTTAAAACAAGGATATGCAACTATGGCAGGGGTGAAATGTAAAATTTGTTACTACCGGTTCTGTGGGTGTGGCTTGGTGGGGGGGGTTAATGTGATTGGGTGGGCGTGGCCAACTTTAAAAAAAAAAACTTTTCAAAGCATTTTTTCTAATGCTTTGAAAAGCCTCTGCCGATCAGGCAACTCAGCTGGGATCGTCAGAGACTTTTCAAAGCATTTTTTTACCACCTCTTCAGCCAAGAGGTTGCAGAAAAAAATGCTTTGAAAAGCCTCTGACGATCCCAGCTGAGCTGCCCGATCATCAGAGGCTTTTATTTTTTACTTTTAAAAGCATTTTTTCGTTGGAAGAGGTTGTAGAAAAAATGCTTTGAAAAGTTAAAAAAAAAAAAAAGCCTCTGATGATCGTGCGGCTTAGCTGGGCATGGTGGGGTGGGGGAGAGGGCGCAGGGATTTTTTCTACCGGTTCTCCGAACCACCGCCGCCATCGCTACTGGATCAGGCGATCTGGTCTGAACCGGGAGCATTTCACCCCTGAACTATGGTGACTTTACAATCTGTGGACTTCAACTCCCAAAATTCCTGAGCCAACCACGCTGGCTCAGGAACTCTGGGAGTTGAAGTTCACAGATCGTGAACTTGCCACTGTTGCCTATCTCTGTGTTAAAACATGAAAATGGAAAGTAGAATTTCCAATTAAAAATCTGTCATAGTTTCGCTGACTGGTTATGGAAGTGTTTCTTTTAATTAGAAGGGAGCTTAACCAAATCCTATACCGCTGGAGCCTTTGTTGGAAGAAATGAAGCGTTCAATTAATCAGCAAAAATGCTAACAATAGGCTGACCTTTTATACACAGAGAGCATTTTCAACTAGGTACCAATCACATTTGGATAATTGGATTTGCTAAATTTATTCTGGGGAGAGATATTTTTTTTTATTGATTATTTTGAATAATTGCGCGTTCCTTTCAGTTTGGTATTTCTGAAGGCAGCTTAGGAAAGGTTAGATTTGTTGAGGTATGTGAGCTGGGGCACATGCTACACAGCTTCCCATGGTTTCTTTCCCATAATACAAGAGTAGAAACTGGTACCGGGCAGTGAATGTGCAATCCTAAAACTTAATTTATAAAGGCACTTAGTTTACAAATTGCTCTTGACATATGACTGGTCACTTAGCATAATTATGACCAGTGGTGGGTTGTTACGGTTCGCCCCAGATCAGGCAAACTGGTAGCGGCGGCAGGAGGCTCCGCCCACCCACCAGGACGTCTCTGCGCATGTGCAGAAGCTTCTGTGCATAAGTGCGCACGCACCCACGAGTGAACCGGTAGCTACAAGATTTGAATCCCACTACTGGTCATGACCCAAATGTTGTGACCAAAGTGGGCTCTCAGGTTGTTGGCTAAACCATGTCCATAGCAAACCATTACCGTATTTTTCGGAGTATAAAACGCACCTTTTTTTCCCCCTAAAAGGGGGTGAAAATGTATGTGCGTCTTATACACCGAATGTAGCCCCGCCCACCCACTGGCCCCCACCCTTTGGCCTCTGCCTCGCAGCAGTTACCTCCTTGCAAGCAAACAGCAAGAAGAAACAGCTCCTTTCAGCTTCAGCACAGCCTAATTAGCACAAATTGATTGGATCGGCCTCCTGACTCTCAGGTGATTTGCTCTCAGCTGTTTTGCGCAGGGCTCTGCTGCTTGCTGCAAAGAGGTAAATTGCTGGAGCAGATTTTTTTTTCCCTTGTGCTAATCAAGCTATGTTGAAAATGAAAATGAAAGTAAAGCAGGTTGTTTGCTGTTTGCTGCAACGAAGCAAAATTGCTGGGAGGCAGAGGCAGATTTCTTTTTCTTCTTTTCCTCACCAAAAAAGGTAGGTGCGTCTTATACTCCAAAAAAATACGGTAGTTCACTTAATGACCATGGAAGTTAATTAACAACCATGGTGGCTGTTTTACAACTGCCGCATTTGCTTAATGACCCCTGCAAAAAAGTTTGTAAAATTGGATAAGAAGGAGTTAGTCACCTGACCAATCGGTTTTACGACCGTCATGACTTACAACTGTGAAGTGCAGGCTCTATTACAGTTGTAAGTCGAGGACTACCTGTATAAAAAGATCCTTTGGTGACAGCTTCAAGTTAATCGTGGTTGAAACATAAGTGGAGTCAGACACAATACTGTTGCCAAGAAAAATCCATGGATGGATCCACGAAGTAACTACCGTATTTTTTGGAGTATAAGACGTACCGGACTATAAGATGCACCTACCTTTTTTGGTGAGGAAAACAAGAAAAAGAAATCTGCCACTGCCTCCCAGCAATTTTGCCTCATTACAGCAAACAGCCTGCTTTACTTTCATTTTTGTTTTCAGCATAGCTTGATTAGCACAAGGAGACAAAAAAAATCTGCTCCAGCAATTTATCTCCTTGTAGCAAGCAGCAGAGGCGGCACAAAACAGCTGAGAGCAAAACAGCTGAGAGTCGGGAGGCCGATCCAATCAACTTGTGTGCTAATCAGGCTGTGCTGAAGCTGAAACAAGCTGTTTTTTCTTGCTGCTTGCTGCAAGGAGGTAAACTGCTGGGAGGCAGAGGCCAAAGGGTGGGGGCCAGTGGGCGGGCAGGGCTACATTCGGTGTATAAGGCGCACTTAAATTTTCACCCCCTTTTAGGAGGGAAAAAGGTGTGTCTTATACTCTGAAAAATACGGTAATAATTAAAGGAGCTTTTAGCCAGGTAGGTGGCAGCACTTGCTTTTGGTTGATCTTGAAAAGCTAAACAGGACTGAACCTCATTTCTATTTCTTGCTTTCCCTTGGATATGAAGTAGTGAATGTTTGCGTGACTTGCTTAGAGGAGCTGGGAGGGTGTTTCTCTCTTTTCTCACGTGGTTTCCAAAATATAGGTGAAATGTAAGCTCCAGAAAGCTTCCTACTGCTTGTAGGTGCAACTATCCCTTCAGATTATCTAAGGCAGAGTTTCCCAAATCTTGGCAGCTTTTAAGATACATGGACTTCAATTCTCAGAACTTCTCAATGGCTGGCGGGGGAATTCTTGGACTTGAAGTTCATGCATCTTAAAGTTGCCAAGTTTGACAAACACAAAGTCATGCTTTAGATCCTGCAGGCTGAGTGAGAGATTGTTGTCCGTCTAATATGCAATTGTCCCATCCTTCCGTTGTTCCAAATATTCCAACCTTGTTCCGTTGTCCGGAACATCCTTCCATGTTCCAAATAGCATTGTTCCATTCTTCCGAGGTGGGTAAAATGAGGACCCAGATTGTTGGGGGGCAATATGCTGATTCTGTAAACTGCTTAGAGAGGGCTGTAAAGCACTATGAAGTGGAATATAAGTCTAAGTGCTATTGCTATTGTGCAAAACTCTTGTCCCTGTTCTTAAAGCAGAGAACATAAATTACTCAGCCTTCCCTAGATTCTAGAGCAGCATTTAAAATAGCAATAGCACTTTTTTTTTTTTAATTTGATTTATATGCCGCCCTTCTCCGGAGACTCAGGGCGGCTTACAATGTGCTAAGCAGTAGCCTTCATCCTTTTGTATATTTATACAAAGTCAGCTTATTGCCCCCACAACTGGGTCCTCAATTTACCTACCTTAGAAAGGATGGAAGGCTGAGTCAACCTTGAGCCTGGCGAGATTCGTACCTGCAGTAATTGCAGGCAGCTGGTCTTAATAACAGGGTGCTTTAGACCACTGTACTACCAAGGCTCTTGACTTAGACTTATATACCGCTTCACAGTCCTTTACAGCCTCTCTAAATTTACAGAGTCAGCATATTTTCCCCAACAATCTGGGTCCTCATTTTACCAATCTCAGAAGGATGGAAGGCTGAGACAACCTTGAGCTGGTCAGGATCGAACTCCTGGCAGTGAGCAGTGAGTTAGCCTGCAGTACTGCATTCTAACTACTGTACCACCACAACTCTTACTGTCATCTACAGTCCACTAACACCTCTTTTTGTTCTAGTAGGTTTTTTGGTTTTGTTTTAATTGAGAATTAGGGGCTGAGAAATTTTAAGAGATGTATTAAGCCTTACAGAGACAACATGTTACCCCTTGAACTCTTTCTTCCATATCAGCTCCTGGACACACATATACCCCGCAGTGACATGATTGCATTTCAGATGCTTGGTAACTGGCTCGCATTTAAGACTGGTTGCAGCATTGTGTGGTCATGTGACTGCAATTTGCAATGTTTTTTTGCTGGCTTCCAGCGAAAAGCACCCATGTGGGAGAATGGATTCACTTAACAACCATGTTCACTTAATGACAGCAGTCACTTGCTTTACGACTGTAGTAAAAACAGTTATAAAATCAAGTCCGGTCACCTCTCAGGTGGTAGAATGATAAGCCAACGATGATCTGGCTGTCTTTTTACAACTGAGCATTATGTCCAGAATTTTTCACTGCATTCAGGGAAAACTAATTTTAATTAGAATTGCCTGTTTCTAGAGCCGTGGTGGCGCAGTGGTTAGAAGGCAGTATTGCAGGCTAATTCTGCTGATTGCGAACAGTTCGATTCTGACCGGCTCAAAGTTGACTCAGCCTTCAATCCTTCCGAGGTCAGTAAATTGAGAAACCAGATTGTTGGGGGCAATAGGCTGACTCTGGAAACCGCTTAGAGAGGGCTGTAAAGCATTATGAAGTGGTATATAAGTCTGTGTGTGATTGCTGTTTTTCTTGATGGTCAGTGATTTTACATTTTAAAATACTCTCAAGAATTCTTTAATGAGTTTCATCAAAATCCAGTCTGTCAATTTGTCCTTGCATTCCATCGCTCGTCACTTCTGCTTCATTTAATCCTTCAGATTCTTTTCCCAAGAAAGCCATCCCAGGCACGGATATCTGTCCAAAACAAAAATTCCAGGAAACTTCCCTA